CTGTCGCAGTATCACTCCTTTGCGCAACGGCATGACATACTGGGGATGGTAATGGTATATGTCGAATAACGTTACACCCTTGCTTTAAATCGACGATCCCTGTTTAGTCGAAGGAGAACAAGGACATCCCCTTGGAAGTATAGGGGAAGTAAACACCAACAGTTATCAGGTAGATAGTATTTGTTTTGGGCGCCTACGTCAGTTGGTTCGGGAGCTTTTGTTTCACCTCCGCCCCTCTCTCCCCTTCAAACAATTATCCCCTCTGGTTTTGCGACAGCTTTTCACCTCGGGTTCTTTGAGAAAAGTATCCTGAAAAGCCTCTATCTCCCGGTGTGGTCTTCCACTCCATGGTCCCGCATTCCAGTGTCTTTTACCTCGCAAAGTTGCACGAATTTAGTTGAGCACCACCCCATGTCGACAGCATCTAGCCAATCCCGAGGAGTCAACCGACGGATTAACAGCCTCCAAAATGAGGGTCGCCATTCGCGCAACTCCTCTTTGTCACGGCGACGCCCTTTGAATGCCAACGTGGCATACAGCCATGCCGTTCGAGTCGCCTATCTTGCCTACCTCCTCCACCCTCGCTCCCGTCGCATCCAAAATGCCCCAGCCGCGCCGGCGCGGCCAAAGCGATCGTCGACCTCGATTCATGATTTGATGAGTGACTTCTCGCTGGTCAGGGACTCCAAGAGCACAAGGATTCCCCATGGATTCGTGTCCGAGCTGGAGAAGCGCTTAACGGGCGTGTTGATGGGAAAGGAGAAACGGAAGGAATACCAAGATCACCTGGTCGTACGCACTTTCGCTGCTTTTCTCAACACCTTGAAAGAAGACTCGTTCCGAAAGCGCATGGAGAAGGACCGGCGAGCTGAAGATCTGGTCCTTATCTTCTACTCCAATGCGATCAAGGAGTTGGGCAAGGGCAAGGATCACGACGATGACAGCTGGAAACTGATGGTGGATCGACACGTTGCTCTTTTCGTCCGGCTTTTCGGGCTCATATTGAAGGATCACGACTGGTCTAAGGACCGTCCAGAGCTGGCAAATCGCTTATCGGTACTCGAGAACAAGCTTCTTTTGCAAGATCAGGATCTCATGGATGGAAATGGACCTGCGTCAGCGGCAGAAGCCCCTGGTTCATTGAGTTATAATGTGAAAGACATGCCCCTGGTGCAGCATGTTACCAAGATCTTTGGGATGACAACAGCCCAAGCGCAGTCTGAGATCGACAAACACAAGTCCATTTGGACTGAAAAGGCCGCTCTACAGGACCTCAAGACCTATCAGGCACACCTGAATCTTCAAACTCACAAAACACTATCAAGAGATGATTTTGAGACAGACGAGGGTTACGAAAGTTGGAAGAAAAGTGAAGGCCCTGATCTCTCACAGATGATGCTTGCAATTGTGCAATCCAACCCAGAGTTGGCCAAGAGCACTCCTGGGTCTCTTCCTCAATTCAACCCTAATTCCAGCGAACATCCTGATTTGTCCAGAACGTCCTCTGGCCGGACTGACAGGACATCCTATGTCATCGATCAACCCCTTGATATCAGTGGACTATCTTTGGACGACACAGATGAATCTGATACTTACGTATTCATCCCATCCGACCCTAGGGCTGTGTACAGATACATTTTAGCCCAGACTTTGAGTCACGATCTACGAGACCGGGAACTCGAAGCTTCCCAAGCCACATCTGATGTGCCTTCAATGAAATTGTTTTCAAAGCAGTCTACGGAGATGCTTAATGAATTATGTCTCCGCTGGCGGATTCCCAACTTCTCCCGGGTCGTGTTATTCCTTGATGTGGCTCAGGCTAAATTTGTCGATAATGAAATCGATCTCGATACTCTTGACTCGGCATTTACGTTTGTGAAGGAAATGCCTGCAGGAGAGAACCGCAAACGCAGTAGTTTTGTGGCTTCCGCGATTTTCGACCGGCGACGATGGACCGTTCACGACCTTCATATGATGCAAGTACTTCTGTCCAAGCTCCATGAGGCCTTGTTGAGAGAGCTGTACGAGGTCATGATGAACTGTTTTGAGGCAAAGCCACGCCCAATTGGTCCAGTGATGTACCTTCTCGAAACACACATCCAAACGGATCCAAATTACATCGAGGACCCGGAGGACATCGATCGATTCTGTTCGTATGTGCAAGATGGGCTGGCCCAGAAGGCCACAGCGAAATACCAGAGCCTCCTTAGCCAACTCATTCCAGTGGAGCAAGAGGCTTGGGACCCCCAGCATGTCATCGAACTTGGAGATGCAATCACAAAGCTTGCAACCAAAATCCAGAAACGCTACCGCAATAATCCAGAGATTATGGGGTACGTCTCACATCTTGTCTAATTGACCCATCGCTAACCAAAAACAGGGTTAATCCTTATACCACTCTATGCTTCAATGTATTACCAATGTTTGCCGAGGACGCACATGAAATGGTCATCAGGATTCTCGAACAAGCCAAAGATAGGGGCGAGGAGATCGCCATCGAAGATGGTTTCGACTTATACAAGGGACTTGCTGCTGTCAGACAGTTGTTCACACAAACCCATCCCGAGTAAGACCGGCCTTTTCTACTTTACGAGTATTGGTAGCTGACCCAATTTAGCGCAACTTTCCCATTCCATGTGGAGACTCTTCTTCAGGAATTCGTCTGGAGATGGCTTCGTCTGACAGACCAAAAGATCATGGATTGGGTCAGTCAAGCTACGAGACAAGACGCATTCACTGTTCGTGCCGAAGGAGTGACCGATCTCGCACCTGAAGATGATCGACACAGTGTGTCAGTGATTGATATCTTCCGATCTTTCAACCAAGTAGTTGAGAACCTTGTGCAGCTGGAATGGGACGACGATCTCCAATATGCGAAATTCATGACGCATCTTTCCAACTCAATTGGCAAGGGTGTGGCGACATATTGTGACTACTTGGAGAAGATGTTTGCGCGGGAGTTGGATCGTCTCACGCCTGAACAAGAGGCCGCATTGAACCAAACCACACAGGAGAAGCTGATGCAATTTGCGAAGGACACATGGACAAACAAGGATAAGATCGAACCATTCCAATTCTACTCGGAAGTATGTGTGCACTTTCAGCTTCGTGAATATGGCGCCTAACCTTTGTATAGTCCCTGGTGAAACTGAACAACATCGAGTATGCACTCGCCCAACTTGACAAGCTCGAGAACGACATCAATGTCGACGGGTGCGCCGAGGTCATCGCGAGAAACACCCCTCCGCAGCTCAAAAAGGTCCGCAAGTCTACCACTTATGTCTTCACAATCAAGGTTGTGGAAGCAGAAGATTTGAAGGCGTGCGATATCGGTGGTGGCAGTGACCCCTATGTCGTCTTGACGGACGAATATCAGAAACGGATTGCAAAGACCCGCACCATTTACAATAATCTTAATCCCCGCTGGGAGGACACTGTTGATCTGACAACTCAAGGTCCTCTTAACATGATTGCTACAATCTGGGACTGGGATGCAGTGGGCGACCACGACTACGTCGGCCGCACGTCAATCAAGCTGGATCCAGTGCACTTCAGTGACTTCTTGCCAAGAGAGTATTGGCTCGACCTTGATACTCAGGGTCGGCTTTTGCTCCGAGTTAGTATGGAAGGCGAGCGCGATGATATCCAGTTCTACTTTGGCAAGGCTTTCCGTACACTAAAACGTACCGAAAGGGACATGACTCGGAAGATCACAGAGAAGCTTTCTGCATACATCAGCCACTGTCTCTCCCGTCGGACATTGAAATCTCTGCTCTCTCGTGGTATTAGCATCTCCAGTGTGTCGAGCTTCCTGAACCGCAACCGAGCACAACCAGCTGCTTCCGGCCCAACGCCAGCCGACGTCGAGAACGCCTTGACTCCTCTTTTCAACTACTTCAATGACAACTTCGCCATCATGAACAAGACACTCACACCCGAAGCCATGAAGATGGTGATGGCCCGCTTGTGGAAGGAAGTACTCGCAACCATCGAGAGTCTGCTAGTGCCACCTCTATCCGACAAGCCATCCCATCAGAAACCCCTAACCATCCAAGAAGTCGACATCGTATCACGCTGGCTCGTGCTGCTGTTGAACTTCTTCCATGCCGTCGACGAAGAAACAGGCGAGGCAGGCGGTGTTCCAATCGACATCTTAAAATCGCCCAAGTACCACGAAATCCAAAGTCTGAACTTCTTCTACTTCGAACCAACAGAGAACCTCATCCGCACCTCTGAGCGCATGGCCTCGGCAACAGTCAACCGCCAACAAGCGAACCGCAACCGAGCCTCCGCACCTGCACACCTCGGCGCCACAGGCGCTGGCCATGGCGGCTTAGGGCTTCCCGCTGCCCGTCGTGCGAAGAGTATCATGCTCTCCCGCAATTTGGGAACCATGAAGAAAGCCAAAGAAGAGAAGCGCAAAGAAGCCCAGGCCGATCCAAACGACGACATGATCCTGCGTATTCTCCGTATGCGCCCTGAAGCCGCAGGCTACCTGCGTGATCGTAGCCGTCAGAAGGAAAGACTAGCTGCAGCTGCAGCTGCCGATGCCATCGTGAAGCAGAGTTTAATGGCCGGTGCTGGAAGTCGCATGAGTGGCATAATGCCACGGGCAAGGTGAACATGGAATTGGCACCTGTCTTGTATGTTTGTTATTGCTTTATACATCAGCCAACAATGCTTCCAATTTTCTGCCTCTTCGTGTTTTCTGCATTCTGTCTCATTACGCATGAACCCTTGACCTTATGATTCCCATTGGCATCTACTTGTGCCCGCTCATATTACTTCAGATGGAATGGAAATGGAAATAATCACGATGGACCAGTACCAGATACCAGATACCAGATCGAGGCAATTCCACAGGTAAACGTAATTCAATTGGATTCACCCTTTTATTCCACGTTTATATCTATATTTACATTTACAATGAATTCATTTTGATCTTGAGTTTCCATTGTATCCAGTAAAAAGTATTCATTCCAAAGAACAAACCCTCAAATTTACTCCAGAGCAATGCACTCAATCTCAACGGGGACACCCTTCGGCAGCTGGTGAACAGCAACACAGCTACGGGCAGGCTTGTGAACGAAGAACTTCTCGTAGGTGGCGTTCATTTCGGCGAAGTTGGCCATATCAGTCAAGAAGACCTATATATCCATTTCGATTAGCAAGGTTCATTAGGAAATAAACCGAGGTGTCTCCGCTAGAGTAAGGGAAAACCCACGTTAACCTTAACGATCTTGGAGACGTCGGAACCGGCAGCGGTCAGGATAGCCTTGATGTTGTCGCAGCAGACCTGGGTCTTCTGGCCGATGTTACCCTCGACCAGGTTGGCGGAGGCGTCGGCGGGGATCTGGCCGGAGACAAAGATCTGGCCGTTGGCGCGGATAGCCTGGGACTGTAAACGGTTTGTGTTAGGATCTATGTGCTTGGGGATATGTATAGATGTTGTTGTTTTCGAGTGGTTGGGTTCAATTGTTTGATTTCGGGTAAGTTATAGAGGGGTAGCTCGCAAGGTAGATAGGTGAACACCTGGGTATGAGGGAGAACGTACGTAGGGGCCGGCAGCTGTTGAATGTATATGTTAGTGAGTTGATTCAAGGTGGTTGTATTCCAGGGGGACTGGAATTGACTGTTCTATCCGCTCCGAAGATAGATGAAGGTGGGACTTACGAGGGCAGGCGTCCTTAGCGGAGATGGTAGACAGAGACATGGTGCGAGGGAGGAATTGAGGTCTGGAAAGGATAGAAGGTCGAGGAGTGATAGTTTGAGAAAGAGACAAGAGACGAGAAGTTGGGCGCAGCATGAGGAAGAAGTAGGGAAGATGGTAAGTGCCCCGCTCTGTGAGTTTCCCTCGGAGAGCATCGAAGCTCCCCGATGAAGTCATCTTACTTATTATCTCTTTACCTACACTAAGGATCGGAATACTGTAGATATTATTTGGATTGGATAATTACTTGGATAACATTCAATTGGGCTAATACAATGCTAAAATATTAAGTCGTAAATAGTCGTGTTCGCATTACTTGCCCCTGCGCCTTCTAGGAACATACTGTACAATTCTTCGGGTCACGGTTTGCCCAGGCTGCCAAGCTGCTGCATTAGGCTGACTGTCTGCTCGGCGGAGTAGCCGAAGAAAACGGGGCCATTGAAGGTGATGTGGGAGGGATTGGAGGTGGTTGAAGGAATATCGGGGTTGGTAGTCGAGTCTTCACCCGCAGCAGCAGGAATGGGAGGCGCAGATATCTCTTCTGTAGCCAGGCCTTTCTTATCCTTTGGCCATTCCTTTGCCCAGGCTTTCCAGGGTCCTTCGGTCTCAGGCTTGGGGACTTCAGCGACTGGCTTCGGGGCGCCGTGGCCGAAAGGACAACGGCCGGCAGGTTTGGCAGGGGCATCAACACTGGCGTCAGCGACGTCCGCAGGCTTGTCGGATGAAGTATTGGATTGGTCGGCTGGGATGGGGACAGGCGCCGAACCGGAAGTCGGCACTGAGGCTGGAGGGAGATGTGTGACGGGTACTGAGATACCCCAAGGCCTGCTCGGGGATTCCCCCACGCGGACTTCGCGGAGCGGACGGTCAAAGTGACTCTGGCGATTATCATCCTCGTTGTTTGGAGCTCCAGGCGCCTCTGGGTCCACGTTCTCGGCCCATTTCTCGACACGCTGGGTCGACGCCGAGGTTGCGGACTTGCCCTCGCCGTTCTGGCGTTCCGGTAAGAAGGCTTGGTGTTTGACTCCCAGGCCAGCGATCATGCTGGTGAGCCCACCGTATTTAGCGTCTAGGTGTCGCATGTCCTGTGGATTGCGTTGGTATCGGTTGACGCAGATTGCATGACTCCGAGGAATTTCGTGTTTGTGTCGTTCAACATATTCAGCGATTTCTTCTGGTGAGTGTTGATCCAGGAATCGGATCGGGCATCGAGATACAGGGCATGCACCTTTCGATGATGGAGCGGATGGAGTATGACTGGAGCGTCGTTCGTCCAGCTCGGCTTTGATAGGATCGAGATGCTCATGCCCGCAGGTGGAGTCGACCTGGATCTTTGCTGCAGAGCTTCTCCCGCTAGGGACTTCACTTCCATTCTGCATCTTATTCGGTTTGGAGAATGGGCAATGCAGATTCCCCTGAGTACCATTGGTTGTGAAGTCCTTCTCCAGCGCGGGTGGTGGGGAAGGAACTCGCGCGAGGATGCAGGAATTGGATATTTGGGAGACGCCATCCTGAGAACGGAGCAGAGACTTGCAGCCTTTGACCCCGTCCTTGATGGCCGCAGTGGTATTTTCGTCTACATTTTGGTGTGCAACGAGGGTCTTGATTACATCCTTGGAATTCAACGGCTGTTCCTCCACCTGAAGCTTGCTGTGTACAAGGCCCTGATGGTATTCTTCTTGCTGCGCGAGCAGTTTGGTATGAACGTCCAGTGCACGAGGTCTATCTTGAGGCGGCAGTGTTTCTATCACATTGGAGTACTATTTGCGAGTTAGCGATGGTCTCAAAACACATGAAAACAAGCAAAGCAATAAAAGTCTCATCAGATAATACATGTTAATCCGTCACCGCCACAAGATTGTGACTACTGATCTAGAGCTAATCAAAATTTCTCATCACTTGAGACAAAGCAAACGCAGGGAGAATAAGAGAAGAAAAAAGTGTGTATTTACCTCCTTGAAGACATTGTCCATGTGCTGGAACAGTTCATTTTGTCTGTGGGTAAGTCGATAAACAGTTAGCAGTAGGGCATCGAAGGCCTTGCCAACAGCCTGGAGCTGATCATATTGCAGATCCGGCTGCATCTCGGTAAGTGCAGCAGGTGACATGCTGAAGATATTACAATCAGAGGAAATTCATCTGAGGAAGTGGCTTGCTAGATGCAGCGCCGACTTCAAAAGCATGAGAGATGGAAAAAGGAAAAGAAGCTGCTTTATAGCGGACGGGCTGACGCTGGAAAAACGTGAAGCGAGATGGCCTGTGCGTTTGGTCATGTGATGGGCTAGTCTGTTTTGGGAACGATAACTACAGGTGAGGTACTTTACATGTATGTATGTACTCCATGCCCATGGTAAGTTACATAGGATCTACGTCTATTTATCTGTGAAGACAGTAGCAGCATTAAGACATCCAGTACAATACGGTGAAGGTGCGAGTTTAGATATAAGCGAGTGTATGTGTCAAATGTCTGCAAATCTCACTAACCTCAGAGGATATATATATCTTTGTATCATTTACGCGCTGCAACTTTTTAAAGCAAATAAGGAAATCAATGAGCCGGAAAATATAACCGAGCAAATGTAGAAAACATCAAATACTCAAGCATAATTGTATTATACCCACCATGTAGAAACAGGGAGAGTGGACGATAGGGAAGTCACAAGGTGAGAAGACATCGAGACAGGAGCAGTGGAAAAGAAAGTTAAGATATTACTGGCTTATGTAGTCATAAATGAAAGCCCCTTCAACAGCCCGGCCGGGCTAGCTCAATCGGTAGAGCGTAAGACTCTTAATCTTAAGGCTGCGGGTTCGACCCCCGCGTTCGGCTATTCCTAAACACCGTCCACGAGTGAGCGTTTCTTTTTTTCTTTTTTCCCTTTTTTGCCTTTTTTGCCTTTTGCTTTTGTACCCATCGAGTTTATTTTGGAGGGTCGAGTGATTTGACTTTTCTATTTGTATGTGAACCCATGGTACAGAATATCTTAGCTATATTTAGCTGACCCTGTCCGGTGGCTACATCGGATATTTGCTGCACAACAGACATCCCGGTATGCATGTACGCGGACCTCTTTCTAGTAAAGCCACTGTGACGAGTTTCAGATCACGTAGTAGCACGGGCCATGCGATTGGCTAGAAATATATTGGCGAAGGCTGCAGCACATCCGAAACGGTCAAGATGGTCTGACCCAACATGTGCGAACATTCGTCTGATCTAGACAAGCCACTTGACTGGGGGTTGTGAGTCATTTTACGCATGCCTGGGTGCCACAAAGAAGCCAGATGTCTAGACCTGGAACACTGAGGAGGGAAGGATTATCAGGTTACAACACACCCTGATTCGTTTGGCCCTGACGATTCGAGAGGACTGAGCACTAGTGCCGAGGCGTGCATGAGAGCCATCGCAGATCAAGGCCCGCAGCGGGGAGTTGATAAGGCGTACAGCAACAGTAAAACTGGATATAGTGAGAGTATAAGGGTGTAAGAGAGTATATGAATACAAGTATAAAGTATAAATATAAAATAGACAATTAACAATAGAAAAAAGAAAGAGTAACACAAGACTTAAGGTAGTTCTAGACCGAAGATCAGAGGGGCATCTGCTTATCAAATTGCCCATTTTGCCATTTTATTTTTCCCCTCCATTTTTTTTTTTCCCTTTTTT